TCTATACCACAATGCAGTTGTGAGCATACTAGGCATTCTATATTATACTACAACATCAGTCTAACTGAATGTTGTAGTTTGAATTTTGGGTGCGTTCGTAAATTCACTCTGGCTATCTACTCCGTGCCAGAGCGCAGAACATCTGATGAATTTACGAACACGCAACACCTGTTGAATATGACCTGTGTCAGTAAACGTTGGCAAAAAATATATATATATTTGTTGCCAGCAGCACAGTTACAGTCACCAGCGCTCTAGATAACATGAAAACAGCCTAACCAGCTCTGCTAGGGTGAGTAAAATTATCAGAGTGAGGTTTTCTCATTTGTGTCTGGAAGTAGCTAGCAAGCTAGCGAACTTTAGCCAGTTAACTTGGCTGCTTGACTGCCGTTGTGAGGTCAGAACGCTCAGATCATCCCAACTCCTCGGCCAGAGCATCCAGTGTGCGCTCTGAATGCTCGGAGAGCGAAACGAACAGACAATCTGACAATGCTCTGAATTTACACACGCCCAGAGCGCACTCTGAGCACACTCTGGCACTCTAGAGTGAATTTACGAACACACCCATTGAAAACTACTGTCTTCAGTAACATCATAGTATTGACAGGATGACGATATTTTTTATTTTGCAAATTAAAATAGTGTTCTGTTTCTTTGGCCAACCCAATGAACCCTGGTAGAAATAATCACTTGGCTTTATTTAATGGTAATTTGGAATGTCAAGTCATTGAGCATTATGGGTGAAAAATACAAAACACAGAGGAATATAAAGTGGCCAGCCAGATGTAAGAGGAGGACGAGCTTCTTTCGAGCCTATAATTAAGAAAATAAGCGCGAAATTGTAGGAGGGGATCCTCCCGCCGCTTAGAATGCTAAGCATATTATATAATATAGATAATATAGCTAAATGTATAAATGTGTATTTAACAAATCAAATATCCACATAGTTCTGCAGATAGGCCAGTATGCTCAAAGTGATCTACAGTGGCTTGCGAAAGTATTCACCCCCCTTGGCATTTTTCCTATTTTGTTGCCTTACAACCTGGAATTAAAATGGATTTTTGGGGAGTTTGTATCATTTGATTTACACAACATGCCAACCACTTTGAAGATGCAAAATATATTTTCTTGTGAAACAAACAAGAAATAAGACAAAAAAACTTGAGCGTGCATAACTATTCCCCCCTCCAAAGTCAATACTTTGTAGAGCCACCTTTTGCAGCAATTACAGCTGCAAGTCTCTTGAGGTATGTCTCCATAAGCTTGGCACATCTAGCCACTGGGATTTTTGCCCATTCTTCAAGGCAAAACTGCTCCAGCTCCTTCAAGTTGGATGGGTTCCGCTGATGTACAGCAATCTTTAAGTCATACAACAGATTCTCAATTTGATTGAGGTCTGGGCTTTGACTAGGTCAAAAAAACAGACATTGAATTTGCTACAACTTATCGGAGTTCACCTGAGATGCAAATTGTTGTGTTTCTCTGGAATTCAACATCTGAAAGTTGTCACAAGGGAGAGAGGACGGAAAATGAGTGGATCGTGCAGTTCTTGCACTGGCCAGTAATAAATGAGTGAATTATAGAAACATATCTCTGTAAATCTAAGTCGAATGGCAGGAAGGTCAAAGGCTGGAAAATGTATAGGTCAGGGATGGGCAACTTTGATAGGGGTGGGAGCCACACAAAAAATCTGAAATCATCACGATTGGCAGCAGGTCTTCATACCCACACATGCAGCCTAGCATTTTGGGAGCCCTAAGCAATATTTTTTATAATTATGAATTGTGTTGTCATATTGGATCAATAGAATATGGGGAATAAAATTTATCAAAATATACCACTTCATCTTGAAATGTAAAGCTAGATTCCATAATTGAAACATTTAAAAAAAGAAAGCCATCCACATCGCGGTCACCAACGCCACACTACTGGACGAGCTAAACACTTTTTTCTCATGATTCAACACAATGACCCTAAGCTGCCGAGGAGAGCCCCCGATGACCAACGTGGGCTACACACTCAGTCTCCACTGAGGAGGTATGTAAGTAATTCAAACGTGTTAACCCTCACAAGGCTGCCGGCCCAGACTGAATCCCTTGCCATGCCCTCAGAGCATGTGTGGGCTGTTGTGTTCTCTGACATTTTCAATCTCTCCCTAGGTCAGGCCGCTATACCCACCTGCTTCAAGATGTCCACTATCATCCCCGTGCCCAAGAAAGGGAAAGTAACTGAACTGAATGACTACCAACCAGTAGCACTCACTTCTGTCATCATGAAGTGCTTAAAGAGGCTGGTCAAAGACCATATCACCTCCTCCCTCCCCGACACACACGACTCTCTCCAATTCGCCTACTGCCATGACAGATCCACGGACAACGCAATCGCCATTGCACTGCACACTGCCCTTAGCCACCTGGACAAAAGGAATGCATATGTGAGGATGCTGTTCATCGACTACAGCTCGGCCTTCAATATCATAGTGCCCTATAAACTCATTACAAAGCTCACGGCCCTGGGTCTGACCTCCTCCCTATGCAACTGGGACCTGGGCCCAGGTATGGTGAAGGTAGGCAACATTACCTCCTCAACACTGATTCTCAACAGGGGCCCCACAAGGGTGCGTCCTCAGTCCCCTCCTGTATTCCCTGTATACACACGACTGCATGGCCTCACACAGTTCCAACTCCATCATCAAGTTCGCTGACGAAATGACAGTAGTAGGCCTGATTACCAACAACGACGAGACTACCTACAGGGAGGAGGAAGGCACTCTGACGGCATGGTGCCAGGTAAACAACCTCTCCCTCAACGTTAGTAAAACAAAGGAGCTGATTGTGGACTTCAGGAGGAACCAGGCTGGACACACCCCCATCCTCATCAACGGGGCCGCAGTGGAGACGGTCAATAACTTCAAATTCCTCTGCGTACAAATCTCAGAGAAGCTGAAATGATCTAATCACACAGACACCGTGGTGAAGAAGTCACGACAGCAACTCTTCAACCTCGGGATGCTGAAGAAATTCGGCCTGTCCCTGAGGGCCCTCACAGTGTTATACAGGAGCACCATCGAGAGTGTACTGTCGGGCTGCATCACAGCCTGTTACGTCAACTCCATCACCACGGACCGCAAGGCGCTTCAGAGGGTGATAAGTGCAGCCAAATTCACCATTGGGTGCACACTGCCTTCCCTACAGGACACCTAAAACACCATGTGTCGCAGGAAGGCCAAGAAGATCATCAGGGACCCCAGCCACCCAAGCCATGCCCTGTTCTCCCTGCTTCAATCACTCAGATGCAGACAGTACAGGAGCATCATGGCAAAAACTGGAAGACTGGCCAATAGTTTCTACCCTCAGAGCTACCTGTTCCCCCATCCCCTCGCTACTCCCCCTATGGACCCTACAGTTGTTTTTACATTTACGTCATTTAGCTGACACTCTTATCCAGAGCGACTTACAGTTAGTGCATACATTATTATTTTCATACTGGCCCCCCGTGGGAAACGAACCCACAACCCTGGCGTTGCAAACGCCATGCTCTATCAACTGAGCTACCTCCCTGCCTGCCATTCCCTCCCCTACCCTGGACGACGCTGGGCCAATTGTGCGCCGCCCCATTGGTCTCCCGGTTGCGGCCGGCTACAGCAGAGCCTGGATTCGAACCAGGATCTCTAGTGGCACAGCTAGCACTGCGATGCAGTGCCTTAGACCACTGCGCCACTCTATATTTCTATAGTTTTTTTATTACCATTTTCATTCTTTTATTTCACTTAGTCCTGCATGATGGATCTCAGAGCATAAGATTACTGTACCCTGCAATCACACCTGCAATCCTGTACATGTGACTATTAAACACTCTGAATCTCTGAATCTGAACAAAGCCGACACCCCGCCTCTGTTTTGGAAAAAGCTGAGGGATGGGCCTGGAGAAATGTAACCACTCATAAACTCATAGATGGATACAAGGACTGACCATCCATGGCATCAACATATATAGTTTTAAACATGTTTTGAGGCTATACATTGTTCGTTTAGATTTAGGCCTACATTGTTTACCAACATTGGTGTAAAACAAGCTTATATTTTGGGTTCTGATGGGGTAGGTCTACGACAGTTGAGCTAGCTCATGAGGCATTTATAACTTAGCCTATTCTTAAAGAATCAATGGGTATAGGCTATATCCAAAAATGGATGTAGCAACTAAGAATTATAGCTGTGATGTGTTTGTTGGTTCGAATAAGAGATTTCCTTTTACGGCTTACCTCAGAAAGAAAAAGTGAGGCGCGCTATACTCTATAAGCCTACTTCAAACTGAACACATTCGAAAGGCTGCCAAGACTTCTGGATATCCGCTTACATCAAATGTTGGGAAGAGAATGCTGGCTGCGTTCCGAAACGGAAAACTATTCCCACCAGCGGCCAGGAAAAACGGCGGGCGACAACAGACAAATCAAGATGAAGGTGGTTTTTTCACTGCGACAGCGCAGTGAGACCCAAGCATGTGAAAAACAACAAAAGCAGGATGTTTTTGTTTTGTCTGCGCATGATGCGTGGTTTATAGAGGCTTGAAAATTCCCAACTAAAATAACCATTATAGTGTATTTCAACTTCAAGAAGACGATGCTTAACATTAACATTAATAACATGCTCTTGCACACCACATTTTGTGTTAAAATAGTTACACATTTAATTTGTAATCTAGGCCTACATGTACACATTAAATATCTGTAAAAAAAATATATATCAACATAACCAAGTCACTTGAACAGGTATTTATTTGACAGGAACGCACAACCCTTGCCACAGAGAGCATACAATGTGTGCGTAAAATACACTTTACGCACGAGGAATGTTTGCCTTTATCAAAAAACTATTTGATTAAATCCCGGCAATTGCATAACTGTATTCAAAGTATGGGAGAACTTGGAATTTCTTGAGGGTGCTGCATGGGGGTGGGACGAGGGACGGACGGGTGTGGCTCATCCCAAATTTACTTTCGCGCCTAATCTTATTTTATGCTCCTCGCAATCGCCTCCTCTATCCAGAACACCCCATGGTGTTTAGATGGTCCTTAGGAGAATGAATTCATTAGTCAAATGGATATTGATACTCTTTAGCCTGATCTCAGTAATAGCGAATATTGTCTTCTTATGCCTTTACTCAGGTAGGCTGCCCAAATGCTCCTCGAAGCCGCATCATGCTTTCAAGGGCAAACACAATGAACGCAGCACGGTGTTTGCTGATCTGTCCGCGGATGAATATCTCCAAGTCCGCGACTATATGAGTAATCAGAAAGACTTGGATATTTCTGTCAATGCGCTTACAAAACCTTCAGGGAATTTTCTCTTCTTAATTGATATTTTGCTGCCAAGGAAAGCGGATGTTCTGGGCTACCTAGATAACAATAAACCCAAGCCGGTGAGAGAGGCGACTGCGGTAGTTTTCTATGGCACCCGTGGGCACATTAAAGAATATGTGGTGGGACCTCTCCCCAACCCGACTTACCACCGCGATGTCACGGTTGAGAGGTATAAAGAAGAGTTGCCCATCAATGCGCGTACGGTCACCATTGGTGAATATGCACTTATTTTCAAGTTTATTACTGAAGAGGTATTTACAAAACTTGGTAAAATTGTGAAAGAAAGTTTTGATGTCAGTAAAGAGAAGACCCTGAATGCTTTCGAAGGCATGCCCCGGGGTGTCAAATCGGGAGAAAGACAGACATGGATATCCTTCTTTCGTGATTTGAGTGGGATGTACATCCACCCTGTAGGTTTGGAAGTTTTAATCAACCACGAAAGCACCAACGCATCTCTTTGGAGTGTGAAGAGATTACTTTATAACGGACAGTACTTCGACAGTGTGGAGGATCTTATAAAACAATATGACGCCGGGACTGTGACGAAAATTGTATATAAACCTGTCCAGAACTATGCATCACTCAAACCTAAAAGTAAACCCACCGGTTTAAGCCCTCAGCAGTTTTACGCGCAAGGTAAACGCTTCAGTGTCAAGAATAATCATGTCATGTATCTCGAATGGAGTTTTGCGTTTGGTCTGAGTTCCCTCACCGGTATGAGAGTTTTTGACATTCGTTTCAAGGGGGAGAGGATAGCTTATGAGCTTAGTGTTCAAGAGGCAATGTCAGTTTATGGTTCCATCACACCCGGCATGATTCTGACTAAGTTTTTGGACTCTAGTATCGGAATAGGGCGCTTTGCGCACGAGCTCGTTCGAGGCGTGGATTGTCCGTACGCGGCAACCTACATCGACACTTACCGATACATTGACGTCAGTGCACCTCATAGATTCAGGAATTCAATTTGCCTTTTTGAGCACAATACAGGCCGTCCTCTCAGAAGACACTTCTCGGACTTTTTCAGCAATAGTTATGGAGGCATGGTTAACAGTGCCTTAGTTTTTAGGACCATTACGGCCATAGGTAACTATGACTACTTGTGGGACTTCATTTTTTACCAGAGCGGCTCTGTTGAGACCAAAGTGCATGCCACTGGATACATATCATCGTCTTTCAATGTTGATGGCAATCTCAAATACGGACACCAGGTGGCAGAAAATACTATTGGGAACATCCACACCCATTTCATCAACTTCAAAGTTGACCTGGACGTGTTGGGTAAGTGTGTGAACAATGCATTTGGCCTAATATGAACCGATGAAAGGTCAAGCACAGTTATAAATGTTTAAATGACTTGTGGCCACTGAAGACCTGGTTTTAACCCCACTTGGTCACATTGGTGCTGGAAGTGTCTCTGCTAGTTATCTTTCATTTCAATTATATGATTATAACATGATCCAATAATTAGAATTTTGAATTGGGTTTCTGTGCCACAGGGGTTGAGAATGTATTCCAGACCAAGGACATGAAGTTTATGAACGTGTCTTTACCCTGGATGCCGGAGCGCTATGCCATGGTTCCTCAGCTGGTGGAGGCCCAGCTAAAGACTGAGAAGGAGGCTGCTCTCCGCTACGACACCAAGACGCCACGCTACCTTCACATCGCCAGCAACCGCACCAACCGCTGGGGCCACCAACGCTCCTACCGCCTCCAGGTGGTCAGCTTCACCGGTGACAGCCTTCCAGAGACGGAGCCAGAGGAGAAGTCCATGTCTTGGGCTAGGTGAGTCTCCCTCCTCTCTCCTCCTAAGGAAGGCCCTAATTCCTAAAACACAGGTTACAGGTAGACCAAAGGTAAAGCAGTTTGACCAACATTTGTTATTTTATTTGCCAGGTATAAAGTGGCCATTACTAAGCACAAAGACTCAGAGCAGACCAGCAGTAGCCTGTACAGTCAGAACAACATGTGGACACCAGCAGTGGACTTCAGCAAGTACATTGAGGATGACGAGAGCATTGAGAACCAGGTGTGTTTTTGGTCTTAAGTGCCGTTGTCTTTACAGATATTTTACCCCTCTCTTGAGATTTGCAAATTTTCAGTTCATTGATAAATGAAGGTTTGGTAGTCACCAAATTAGTGCTTTTTTGTCTAGGACCTGGTTGCCTGGGTAACCACCGGCTTCCTCCACATTCCTCACGCTGAGGACATCCCCAACACGGTTACCGTTGGAAATGGAGGCGGAGTGATCCTGAGACCACATAACTACTTTGATGAGGACCCATCTATTCACTCCCCAGACGGGGTGTACATCAGCCCAGGGTCAGAGGGAAACTGTGAAAATAACAAGATGGCCTGCTTTGCTGAAGATGCATGCAGCCCAGTCGTTGAACCCTTCACCTACAATGGGTTTGAAGGGACCATGAAGTTTGAAGAGTGAAAAAAAAACAAGTCCCCAGTCCCAATCCTGAGTGTGCTCTGTGCTAAACACTAAAACACTTATGAAAATGGGAATCTTGCCCAAGACAACCTTTGAAATAGTTAAGAAACAACTTTGGATGGCATCAGTTACATTTACAAAACATAAGGAACACCTTCCTAATATTGGAACACCTTCCTTTGCCCTCAGAACAGCCTCAATTTGTCAGGGCATGGACTCTACAAGGTGTCAAAAGCGTTCCATAGGGATGCTGGCTCAAATTGACTCCAATGCTTCCCACAGTTGTGTCAAGTTGTCTGGATGTCCTTTGGGTGGTGGACCATTCTTGATACACACGGGAAACTGTTGAGAGTGAAAAACCCAGCAGCGTTGCCGTTCTTGACACACTAAAACCAGTGTGCCTGGCACCTACTATCATACCCTGTTCAAAGGCACTTAAATATTTTGTCTTGCCATTCACCCTCTGAATGGCACATGTACACAAACCATGTCTCAATTGTCTCAACACTTAAAAATAATTATTTAAGCTGTCTCCTCCCCTTCAGCTACACTGATTGAAGTTGATTTAACAAGTCACATCAATAAGGGATCATAGCTTTCACCTAGATTCACCTGGTCAGTCTATGTCATGGAAAGAGCAGGTGTTCCTAATGTTTTGTACACTCAGTGTATAAATTAAACTCAATACAGTATACACTACCGTTCAAAAGTTTGGGGTCACTTAGAAATGTCCTTGTTTTCGAAAGAAAAGAAAAAAATTGTCCATTAAAATAACATCAAATTGAAAAGAAATACAGTGTAGACATTGTTAATGTTTTAAATGGCTATTGTAGCTGGAAACGGCTGATTTTTAATGGAATATTTACATAGGCGTACAGAGGCCCATTATAAGCAACCATCAGTCCTGTGTTCCAATGTTTATCATCTTAAAAGGCTATTTGATCATTAGAAAACCCTTTTGCAATTATGTTAGCACAGCTGAAAACCGTTGTGCTGATTAAAGAAGCAATAAAACTGTCCTTCTTGAGACTAGTTGAGTATCTGGAGCATCAGCAATTGTGGGTTCGATTACAGGCTCAAAATGGCCAGAAACAAATAACTTTCTTCTGAAACTCGTCAGTCTATTCTTGTTCTGAGAAATGAAGGCTATTCTATGCGAGAAATTGCCAAGAAACTGAAGATCTCGTACAACGCTGTGTACTACTCCCTTCACAGAACAGCGCAAACTGTCTCTAACCAGAATAGAAAGAGGAGTGGGAGGCCCCGGTGCACAACTGAGCAAGAGGACAAATACATTAGAGTGTCTAGTTTGAGAAACAGGCGCCTCACAGGTCCTCAACTGGCAGCTTCTAGGCAGAGTTGCAAAGAAAAAGCCATATCTCAGACTGCCCATCTGAATCTTTTCTTTTTATTGGCCAGTCTGAGATATGGCTTTTTCTTTGCAACTGTGCCTAGAAGGTCAGCATTCCGGAGTCGCCTCTTCACTGTTGACGTTGAGACTTGTGTTTTGCGGGTACTATATAATGAAGCTGCCAGTTGAGGACCTGTGAGGCGCCTGTTTCAATTTGATGTTATTTTAATGGACAAAAAAATTGCCTTTCTTTCGAAAACAAGGACATTTCTAAGTGACCCCAAACTTTTGAAAGGTAGTGTAGGTTTATATCTGTGTGTGCTAATTTGCATACTTTATCACTGCACTGAGGCTTTTCAATTCACATTTGTCTGACCACTATCTGTGTGAGGAGGAAGCTGGAACTATCGTTTGATTGTTTTACTTGTTTGTTTTTTTACCTTCCACATAGGAAAGAATCTGTCTAGTTTTCAAATAAAAATGAAAATATTTGTTTAAAATGGGTTGGACCTCAGCTGTTTCTGTTTTTTTACAGTCTTTGAAAAGCGTAAGGGTCTTTCTACTCCCCATGGTGTCTATAGGAAATGGAAAATAGAAACCAGATCAAAGTGGGTGAATGAACTCCTCACCTCCACCCCTCCACTCACTTCATGGGAACTGAAGTTCTTGTTGTAATACCTTTTAATAAGAATTAACTAAAAAAAAAATTCACAGTACAATAGGGTAACAAATTAAAACAGCACTGCAATTTATTTCCTGTAAACATGCATTTTGGGGGGTTTGTTGCACAAGATTTCTGCATTTTTAAGGCATTGCGAGTCTGTACTTTCCGCCATTAGACAACCCATAGATTTTGTAACATATCTTGGCGCAGCCTCCAATCCTTAAAAAAGTTGACCTGAAAATGGCCTCCTCTCCCTGGCCATCGTAAATATTTGAAGGAATGTCCATGCAGCTAAGAGGCCTCTTATGCAGAACCTTGTTCACATTTTGGAAAGATGGATTTCTGCTCCGCTGCTAAGTGACTTAGACCTGTGTAGGCTACTCATCACACACACACACACACACACACACACATACACACATACATACAATGTCTACTCCCACTTATGTTGCAAAACGTCTGTTTAATTTGACATTCCACTTTCAATAAATTCTACTCAGACTGTGTAGACATTCAGTTACAGACCAGATGTTAAAGTGTTACAACTGTGAGGGGAATGCATACATTGAATCAACACTGGAGTTAGTGGTTTTAGAGAATACGTTCCTATAGAGATTACCACATCTGGGTTCCCATGATTTCAGTCAGACACTAAGGAAACTTTGGTTTGCCCTCCATTCTAATTAATGGCTGCAGCCTGCAGGCTAGCTTGGTTAAAACAGAAGAAAGTTGAGTAAAAAAAAAAAAAAGCAGGAGAAAGCAAAGGAACTTCATTTTCCTAACTTGACACCTGACCCAGAAACTACATCCCCCCTAAATAAAGAGGAGATAACTGCATCTGTGTTTATGTCAGGGCCATTTTCCACTGGATTCAAACTCTCACCCTATGACCTTCCTGCTCCACAAACCATATAACAGTTATGAGTCATGACCTGTAGACTGCTCCAGTTACTGGTAAGAACCCCCACACACTGATCTCAGAGGAATGCCAATGACTGGTTGTCAGCCTCTCCAGAGGCACTTCCTTAATTCTGAAAAGTCACCCTTCACATTCTGAGAAGATCCATTGGCCCTTGGTGTTGAAAAGTCCGCACAAGGATTACTAGACTTAGACTAAGCAGTAAGAAGACTTGAACAGAATAATATACACAGGATAGCCTATAGCCTACATAGAAAGATAACACATTTCTATAAAACATTAGATCAGTTGCTGGCCAGATAAAACCACACATCTTTAGCTATTTACCTGAGTTCACTTGAGTTTATGATTTACATTTCATAATGAAAGACCCATGCACAACTATTAGGTAACTTCAACCGTGAGAAATGTTTTTCTTTATGGCAACAAGAAGGTGTAGCAAAAAAGACTTAATGTCAGGGTCTCTTGGTTCAGTGCATACTGTGAGGAGTCTGAACTGACTTGGGAAAGTATGTTGGAAGTTTCTAGAAATAACCCTACTGTCATAACAAGACTGTTTATCATTTGGTTTCTCTTGGCAGACTGCCTGGCGAGACATCAAGAGCAACATACGTGTCACACGCTATGGCTTCATCTGTCTATTCTCAAGGGCAATAGAGGGGAAGTTGCCTATAAATTGAGGTTTATGATAGTATAGTACAACACTTCATTTGAGCCTGTAGTCCTTAATTAGTCTAGTTTCTCTTTCGACAACAACTTCTATAACAGATGTATAAATGCTGAACAGACAAGAGGACATCAACTTTATGGCTACATTTTATTGTGTAAACACAGTGATGCTATTTTAATATGCTGATCCATCTATAATGCAACACATCGGATGATTGTTTATTCAATATGTCAATGTGCTTGTACCTGTCCCTATTCAAATAAACCATAAATGAAATTAAATCTAGGCCTATGTATGGTGTGAGACCCTCAGTGTTTGACTACCCTTTGGAACTTCCTCAAAGGAAAGCCTCTCCAACTAATGAAAGAGGATGCTGACAGAGTCCAGAAACTCAGGGAGGAATCCTAACATGTGATCTGCAAGGATAACTTTCACAAAAATCTCCCATTGACATCAATGCATTATTTACGCTAGAGCCTTGTAATTCCCTGGTGCTAAAAGTCAATGTCCACATTGGTCCAGCTCGTCTCCAGTAGACCATTATCCTCCTTTTATAACGTGGTGAACAACAGCAACACCAGACAATGTAATGAACGCAAGGTTTAGTCTCTAGTGCATAATGCATCATCACACTTGTGATGAATGTGTTGGGGATGTCTGTAATCATTAACTAATAGACCTGGTTTGGTCATAACTCATAGTTCCAAACAGCCACAGCTCAGAAGCCTGATCTCCATACAATTTTTTATTTTTATTTCACCTTTATTTAACCAGGTAAGCCAGTTGAGAACAAGTTCTCATTTACAACTGCGACCTGAACAGACAACCACCGGCTGAACATTGAATATTTGGACAACTGTGTGTTTTTCTCCAGTTTATCAGTACAGTTCACTGGGACAGATGGTACCTTGGTGTGTAGGGCGGTGATGTTGGTGATGTGGTCTATGGCAAGGGTATTATTGGTGATGACGTGCCCGGTTTAACCTCTGTTTTAACCCTGTTTATTAAGCCTGGTTAAAGCACTTTGGTAATCAATGTGACACAATTAAGACAATTGCCTTGTTAATCACACAAGTATTTGTGTAGACATAAACAAGTGTCAGGAGCGACGTGTATGCAGTGAGTGAAGTCAAGCGCAGGACACAGAGATACTAGCAGACGTACTTTACTAAATGTAAAGAACAAAACAAAACCTCCGAACCAGGAGGGAAAAAACACCATACACGTAATAAGACAAAAGCGATGCCGATACCGCCTAGACACAAAACAATAACACACAAATACCAAATGTGAGACAAGGGTAATTATAGGATATACAATCAAACATAATAGACAACAAGTGTAACTACTCAAGACAAAACAAGTCAAACACCGAAACATCGATCGGCAGTAGCTAGTACTCCGGGGACGACGAACGCCGAAGCCTGCCCGAGCAAGGAGGAGGAGCAGCCTCGTCAGAATCCGTGACAGTACCCCCCCCTTGACGCGAGGCCCCAGCCGTGCGCCGACCCCGGCCTCGGGGACGGCCAGGAGGACGCGGAGCAGGGCGAGTCGGATGACTCCTGTGGAACTCCGTCAAGAGGGAGGGATCTAGGA